ATATATATATATATATATATTTATATATATATATATATATATATATATATATATATATATATATATATATATATATATATATTTATATTTATATTTATATATATATATATATATATATATATATATATATATATATACATATATATATATATATATATATATATATATATATATATTAGATATATAAGTATTCAAATGTTCTATTTTGTATCATGTGTCTTTTTGGCCCCACTCTAGATTGTATGTGGCTACTCACACACACTTGCCCTGAGCGATGAGGGCAGCCTTTGGGCCTGGGGTGCCAATGGTTATGGCCAGCTGGGCACAGGTAACAAGGCCAACCAGTGCGCACCTGTCAGAGTAGCTCAGGATATTGGACGTATTGTGGACATTGCATCAACACATTACTGTCACTTGTCAGCTGCCATGACGCAAAATTCCAAAGTATACCTCTGGGGACACTGCAAAGGTATGGTGCTAAAAAGTCAGTGTAGTACGAGTTCTGTGTGTATGTGCGTGCATAAGAATGTGCATGGTTTCTGAAATATTTCTGTTACAGAAAATTACATAAGGGTTAGACTTGAGGTGTGATAATCAATGTTGCTTTCAGGTCAGAGTGTAGTTGGTCCTCTGGAAACCGGTTTTAGTAGTCTCCATGAGGTGTTTGCACTCTGGGCATCTCCAAGTGTGACATATGAACCTCTCAACGTTACCTCTTTCACTCGCTCATCTCTAGCACAAGCAATGGCACTAGCACTAGATGATGAGGTTGGTGTCTAGTCTAGAAAGGATGTAATCTGTAAGTGGATACAATGCCTCAGGCAGTTCAAAGAGTGATGGAAGTTATAAGTGTTTCTTTAGTGATGTCTGAATTCACACACTGTCTCTTTCTCTTTCTTTCTCCCACTCTTATTCCCCTCTCCCCCCATTCTCAGTCTTTTCCTCCTCTCCAGATGTTTAGCTCTCTTTCTCACTGCTGTATCAATCTCTATTCTTTATGCTCCCAAATTGATATGTTTTCTCATCCAATGCATAACGTGACAGCAAAATGAGATACTCAAGACTTTTTTGTTTATGATTTTTTGAGAAGAAATGTCTATTCCTTTAAGTGATCATTGCCTCTAGTATAGTTTGTCTTCCAGTTCATATTCTAAAAAGCCATCTCTTGCACCAAGCACCTTTCTCTAACTAAAGTAATCTCTCCTCAAATGCCTTATGCTTGAGCACCAGAGAATAATGCCAGTGTATCACAAGTTAGCTGGACCTTTAACACATTTTCTTTTACATGGATATGGGAAGAAATGGGTATATTGATTTCTTATGTTGTATTAAAGTACAGTAGCCTCGTTTTGTAATTCTTGTTATGATTTGTTACTTTATTTCCACTGTTAATAAGTGTTTTATGTTTTTAGCAGGTTCAGGCATCATGTGTGTGGTCATATATCATAAAATTCCATGCTTTGAATTTACTTAATCCTTCATTTTAGTACTTCAGTTATCATTTGTTACGAAGTTCTTAAAAAAAAGAAAAATGTTGCCCTAACCCTGGAATTTTGTGCAACATCAGGAAACCGCAGACGTAGTCTTTGTGGTGGATGACCGAAGGATAAGAGCCCATCGAGCTGTGCTGAAAATTAGGTGTCAGTATTTCCGCAACATGTTCCAAGAGCACTGGAAAGAAAATAGCCTAGAGTGAGTCTATTCTACCCTTGGAGACTAACCCAGTGTTTAATAGTGTGTATGTGTGTGTGCACGCATCTCTCTGTCTGTCTGTCTGTCTCTCTCTCTTTCTCTCTTTTTTCTGTCAACAGATGTCTGTCTCTCTCTCTCTCTCTGTCTCACTGTCTCTCCCTCTCTCTCTGTCTGTGTCTGTCTCTCTCTGTCTGTGTCTGTCTCTCTCTGTCTGTCTGTCTCTCTCTCTCTCTCTCTCTCTCTCTCTCTCTCTCTTCTCTCTCCTCTCCTCTACTCTCTCTCTCTCTCTCTCTCTCTCGCTCTCTCTTCTCATCTCTCTCTCTCATCTTCTCTCTCTCTCTTCTCTCTCTTTTCTCTCTCTCTACTCTTTTCTCTCGTCTTTCTCTCTCTCTCATGTCTCTCTCTTTCTCTCTCTCTCTCTGTCTCTCTCTCTCTGTCTCTCTCTCTCTTTCTCTCTCTCTCTCTCTCTCTCTCTCTCTCTCTCTCTCTCTCTCTCTCTCTCTCTTCTCTCTCTCTCTCTTTCTCTCTCTTTCTCTCTCTCTCTTCTCTCTCTTTCTCTCTCTCTGTCTCTCTCTTTCTCTCTCTCTCTCTGTCTCTCTCTCTCTGTCTCTCTCTCTCTGTCTCTCTCTTTCTCCTTCTCTCTTTCTCTTTCTCTCTTTTTTCTGTCAACAGATGGTACCTCTTTCTTTATTTTTGAGAGAAGTAATTATATGGTAGCTTTGTCCACTTCCTCTTGTTAAGTAAAAGTGAAACACATAGGTTGGAGTTGTTTATTTGGTTTCCAGATTACTTTTATGTTTTATTCAAATATTATTTATGTTATTTTTAGGGAAGAAAAAAGTATGGGAAATGACTTACTTAATGCAGCTTGAATCCTAAATTGTTTGGTTCTTGCATATCAACAGAGGAGCATTGTTATTGCCCTTTTTCGTAGTCATGCTTGCACCAGTACCCCATGCTAAACATTTTTGCAATATTTATAGAAGCAGATGCTTTTTTTTCTTCTTTTCTTGCTTGGTATGCCTTCCTTTTCATTCGTATATATGTTGAAAATTCTAATATGTTTTTCTATTTTTCTCTTCTATCTTTCAAAATATTTAACAGAGAAGTTGAAGTGAAAGACTACTCGTTTGTAGTGTTTCGAGCCTTTTTGCAGTACATCTATACGGATACAGTCAACGTTTCACCAGAAGATGCAATAGGTATGTATGGAGCACCTCTCTTGGATTACTTCTGAGTGTGAATTATAATTTTTTTTTATTTGATTATTGAAATGATATGCAATGGAGTGATTTTTTGTTTTATTTTTGCTTTACCTTTAATTTATCAGACTTGTGTTAATGGTTGTAACACCAGAAGAAAATTTGAATTCTAATACTAAGTACATTTTTGTGTTACAGGTTTATTAGACTTAGCGAACGCATACTGCGAAGAAGCCTTAAAGCGACACTGCGAGAGAATAATACGCCATGGCATTACCACGGAGAATGCTGCCATGCTCTATGCTGTTGCCATTAAATATGAAGCGACGGTACTGATTTCATTTTGGGATAGATATTCGTGTCTTTATTCATAGATTATGTAGACAAACTTTAGGTGACGAGCTATTGGAATTTTGTTCTTAAAACTGTTGTCCGTAGTAGCTGTTTCATTTTAGAAGTTTGATTTGTATAAAGGTGGAATGAATGCATTCTTTGGTTCAATTCATAAATCACTGAGTTTCAAACATTTTCAGGAGTTGGAGGAGTTTTGCTTCCGCTTTGCCCTCAACCACATGACAGAAGTCGCACAAACGGAAGCCTTCATGGCCCTCGACGAATTGACAGTGAAGAACTTCATCCAGCGAGCAGCACAGCATGGTGCATTTAAGTACTGATATTCTAGCTACTTGTTGATGAGAATCTCACAACAACAACAGCAGCCGAGGCATGGTCACCATTCCTAACATAACACAAGTTTAAGGGGCGGACAACGAGGGTCAGGAATGCGATGGTCAGGGGGGTGCTGACGACGATAAGCTTTCTTATGGTATGGGACATAATGGTAGGGATATTGGGACATTTTTCTCAAAACAAAACAAAGTACAAGAGTGAAAAAATATATTCAAAGGTGTGTGATAGTGATAGGGCTTATACTTAAAAAATTAAAGTGACTTGAATCTCCTGCTTTGACAAAAAAAAAAAAAGTGTACATGGAACTATTGTACTTTTTGTACCATGGGCTAATATTTAGTAGATAGGGCAGAAAAGTGGTATATTTGATTGACGGAGGGAACAATTTATTTCCAAATCCTGTAGCATCTGAAATCCTGATCTCCATGTGGGTAGATGTGTTTCAGCCAATGAAGTGTATAAATGTCTACTGATTAATTAAGTCTTTCACTTTTCTTCTGATTCACTTCTACCAATTTAAGTTGCATGGTTCACACGCAATTCTCACATTCCCTTTCTCCAATGAAGTTATTTGTCATAAGGCAATATTCAAGAATGTGGGTGTGGGTGGCCCAACATAAATTATCAGGCAAGAACCATGTGGCAACAGATGATAGGTAATCAGAGCCAGTTATTCTGTCGGAGGAATTAGGATTCAGTGGTTTCTGATGTGCTTTGTGTTTTGCTTTATGATTTTATGTTATATATGTTTTTTGATACCAAAGATAATGAAATAAGATAGGGAACTCAAGTTTGTATGTGTTTTGTTTTTGTTGGAGTAAATGAGGAATGTTTTTTATAAGATTTGAAAACTAGGGTTTCTAGATTGTGTAATCGTAATGAAAGTATCTGAATTAGTAGTTTTCATTTCTCTTCAGTCGTATCAGGTGCATACAAGGAACTATGAATAGGCAACTAAAATAAAAATAATTATACCTCACAGAAAAACTGTAATGATTTTTTTTTTCCATCCCCGTTCATTGATTTATATTGGTGTTATGAACTAATCTCTTTAAATGCAAGTCATTTATATTCAGCTTCATAGTATTTTATTTGATATCTTAGCATATTTTACAGTCACTTTTTTTAACCCTGCCTCCCTATATGCCTCTCTTCTGGGTATAAACAAAAGTGATAAGGGTTGCTATTAATTTTTATTCTTCTTTTCTTATAAAAGTAATTTCTTGCCATATTTTCGTGATTTCACGTCCTTTATATTTTGGAAAGTACTTTCTTTTTTTGTTTAGTTTTTTGTTTTTGTTTTTATGGTAAAATAGCTACTGTTAGTTCTTTTCAGTTCTTTTATTTCTTCCTTTATGGATCTTCTTAGGAAGGTGAGTCAATCAGTGCTAGGGAATAGTTAGGGGTGAGTAATAGAGGCTTTTACAAGTAGTCCTTAATAACTGTTTTTTTTTTTTTTCTTCTTCTTTTCTTTTCTTTCTTTTTTTTTCATTTCCTTCCACGAGTTTTGATCAGCATCATTTATAAATGGAGTAGAATGTAGGGTTTATCATATTGAATTGTCGTAAGGTAGGTTTATTTTGATACTTCTGTTTCTGTGTTTTTTTGCATCAGACATTTCGTGTTTTTCTTTTCTATCTTTTAAAGGAATGAATGAATTGTCAAGTCTTCCATACACAAGAACATTGTGTGTAAGAGTATCAATGAAAGTACTGATGACTTACAAGTTTTCAGGGATTGTGTATCAACAGGATGACGCAAATATTTCCAATACTTTGATGAAGATATGAAAGCTTGTGAAGACTTGTTTTGCAGCTTAATTCTCCATTCTTGCTTTTTAGTGGCTCTTTTTCTTTTTCTTTTCTTTTCTTTTCTTTTTTTTTTTTCTTTTTTTACTTCCCTTCTCTGAGTCATATGCAGGAAAGTTGAGTGGGTGGTGCTCAGTGCCACAAGGAATGCAGCAAGGGAAATACAGGCTGATCAGATGCCCATCATAGGTGCTAACCTGAAAATTTTTAAAGGACAAAAAGATTCATATTTAAATTTCACAGAATTACAGGAGAGATTTTGCTCAAATGTTAGTGTAAGAAGAAGTCCCAGAGTATGTGAAATTTCAGACTGAAAAAAAATTTCTGATCCATAAGTAGCTGTGTGTGTTGAGATTCTTGTCAATAAGTAGGGTATGTCTGACTGTACCGGCAGTGGTGGAGAGATTTGATGATGAAGATTTCCGGGCAAAGCTCAAATAAGGCTTTGTGGAAGTGTTTCTAATGGTAGTGAATAAATAGTGTGACCAAATGTATACTACTAGTTCTACTTAATAAACAAGAATATTTTTGTGCTTTTGTGCAATATGAAAGACATTATACTGGTCCGTGTTCAGTCTTTCAAAGTAGCCTATAAAATATGCTGATTGAAAATACTTAAGGTTGCAGTAGCAATGTGTGAAAACATTTTTGAATACTGTTTTTTGATGATATATGTGTTTAATAATTTATATATGTAATTAACAATATGGCTTAAAGGCCAGTGTAGGAATGCTATACTGCTGTAATTGGCAAAAAGTAAAAGTACTCTTCCAAATCATAAAATAACTTGCCTCAGGGTTTATGCACACCATAAATATTTTTCTTTCATGTTTTGATCACTGTATGTATGTAAATATACTGTAAAGATGAAGAAAAGCTGCAAAAAATCTTACATTCAAATGACAGTAACAAATTTTATGGTGTTGAAAAAGAGGAATCTAGACTAAACCCTTAAGTATTGCCTAATGGAAATGCAGTGCATACAAAGGTGAAATGTAACTGAATCAAACTCTTTCAGTCCGTCAGGAATGACCCATTTTAACCCAATCATGATGGAAATCCCTAGTGCCATACCAAGCAACACGTCAGAGTTCATGCAAGGTCAGCTGCTTAAGGGAGAAATCAGCAGCACAGGAAACATGAAATTACCCCAATCTCTATGCTCTTGGTTGTGGCATGAATTTTTTTTTCTTTATGTAAAAAGGCTAAAATGAGGCTGTAAGCCTACTTTTGAGGGCCAATTCCTTCTTAACGAGTGCAGCTAGGGCCAAAGAAGTGCACAACTGTTTAGTGTGCAAAAGTTTTAGCAGGCTTGACCATGCATGACATGATGACATCATTCCAGCATGTGGGGGAGTTCTACCATGACGTGATTTGATGTCATTTGCATGATTGGGTTAAGAGGGACTTCTGTGTGTCAAATCTATAAGACAAGTTGCTTTATGGCAGGAAGGTGTGCGGCCTAACTATTATTACTGTGCAATTTAGGCAATCATCATGACTTTTCATCAAAGGAATTTAAAGTCTAGTGGTAATTTAGATGCCATTTGTATTCATAAAATTGTTTATTATCCTACTCTTTTCTTTTTCTTTTTCTCTCTCTCTCTCTCTTTCTCTCTCCCCTCTCTTTCCTGTCCTTTCTGCCTGTCCCCCTCTCTTTTCCTGTCCTTTCTCCCTCCCTCCCTCCATCTCCCCCTCTCACTCTCATTTTACTTCTTTTCATTATATAACATGGTCTTTTCTGTTTCTGGTGAAGAAAGGATGGGGTGTAGATATGTACTTGCAAACATTAAGGATAATTGCCATATCTCGGTGATCTCAAAGACATCAGATTTAGGACATGGCTGTGTTGCCATGAATAGTTAAGCAGATGTGTAGTGGCCATCGGGCTTGTGCTAGGAACTGTGGGATGTATTTCAGATAGAAGAAATTGAGACTTGAGTCTTAGTGTTTTCTCTCTCTCTCTTTTATGGTGTGTAGGAAACATTCTCCACTATACCTGTCCATTTGAACTGTAAGGATACAGTTTTAACAGTAGTCTTTTTTTTTGTTTTTGGGCAGGGTTTTTTTTCACTTTTCCTTTAGGAACGTGATACCTCAGTTCATTTATGCAGTTTTTTTTTTTGTTTTTTTTTTTACCAAGAATGAAATTAACTTTAATGAGTAAAAACTAGAATGTGAATTATAATCAAGGGCAGATCAGGTCTCCTACTGTAAGACAAGTGATTCATGCAACATTGATCTTGTGCTGACATTCCAAGTGATGATTGTGCATGGTTATTTTTCTTAAAGGATCTTGTACTGATTGTACATACATGCATCTATATATATACACACAAATGGGCAACCATTTGTACATTATTTTACAGGAATAAGACACAGCTGTGCTTGTAGATGCAGGCACTTTTTTATTTATGAATCTTTCTATAAATTACAAATAAGGAATATTAAGGGATAAACAGATCTTGCAAAGTATTTTTTTTTTTTTTTTTTTTTTTTTTTTTTTTTTTATATATATACTTAAGTGGTACTATGTGTTGTGATACCTATTTATGTCATTGTTATCTTTATGCTATGTTTCCCTTTTTAATTTAATCAGATGAATTCCACATTTATTACAGACTTTATCATACTCAACAACCCTGCAATTCATTTCCTTTGTTTTGCACACCACACTTGCCGAGCCTATAGGGGTTGTGATACATTTCAAAACACAGGTAGTTTTGTGTTCAGTTCCTTTTGATACTTACTTTTTGATAGAGAAAAGTAAATGCTAGGAATTCGTAAGGCTTGAATTCCTATTTTACATAGTATATTTTCTGTAAGCAATATGATATACATTTCTCCCTGCAGTTTGTGTTTGTTTTTTTTTCTCTCTCTCTCTCTCTCTGCTATGTTCTCTGTTTTCATTAGCTTTAGGTAACATTTAGGTGTTTTCTATTATGTCAGTATTGGTTAATTTTTTGATTGAAGCAGGCATAATTTTTATATAATGTTTTTCATCATTTTTGTTCAAATGAACATGCAGATTTATATTGACTTTATAATATAAAATCATGCAAGAAATTAAACTGTATGTAAACTTTGATTTTCTTTTGATCTGATTAGTAGTGACATTGGTTATTTTATTGAACTTTTCTAAGATTGACATTTCTCTTACATAGGCTGCAGTTGAAAATATATTTGATGTAGTGATACACATACAGACACTCCCATTCACATTCATCTCACAGGTACAGTTGCACACACATGCATACTCACCCATATGCTCATCATCATCATCATCATGTCCCATATTCACACACACACTAACTCTCACTGCAATACAGACAGTTGCTCTAACTCCCAAATTTTCATTTTCTCCTTTGCTTACCCTCTCCTCTCTTTTTACAAACTAATTGTCGCTAACAAACAAGTACTCGTGTGTGCATGTGAGGATGTATTATGTAGAAATATTTTTATTATTGAGATTCTCTTAGATTTCTCCTATTTGACAAAAACCAAAAAGTGTGTAGCCTATCAAAACGTAAAAATATATATACAATGTAACTTGTCAGAATTGCAGATGTACTTGATATAAATGAACATTAATTAATACCATTCTGTGTATTTTTATTTAGATAGCCTTTTTATGTAGCAGTTTAAAGATATCAAAATTTATAGAAATTTTACTTAACCTTTTGTCAATGAAATTGTGTCATTTGCTTGTTAAGACCACTATTTGCATTCTCACTTCTTATTTTTAGAAGCAAATTGTTAAAAGTGCTAGTAGCTTGGTATTTATTCTCAAAAAGTATTTATAAATAAAAAGGTTTAGAAAATTCTGTAATGTTAGAAAAAACTAAATAAGGTGGTTTTAGTGAAAATTTGACCTTGATTCGTGGGGGAACATATGTTCAAAAGTTGAAAGGAAATACCAATTGAGTTTATGAACTAATAAAGAAATGATCTTTTACAAATGAAACTAAAGCAAAATGTATTGAACTATACAAATAAGGACAAATTTCTTGCAAAGGAGATAAGCCTAAAGAAAAGCATGTGGCAGCACTGACTTAATCTACTTTAAACAATGTGAAATTATATGCTTTTCTTTAAAAAAAAAAATCTAATATGTACTTGATATGTAAAAGGTGTATTCTTAGAAGTATTGAAGTTTATAAGACTACCTGTCAAGTCATAGGAACTATTTACTGTGGCAATAATGAATGTTAATGCAGGTAACATGATGATTTCACATTTTATATCTCTTGCAGATTACTATTTAGATGGCCTATGAATTTAGATCTATAAAAAGTTACATAAAACTTTAATAGAGAAAAGGAGGATTTAAACTATGAAAGGAAAAGCCTTCACGAGGAGAAAAATTAATGTTTGATTATCATAAGCACCTAATAAGCAGGTTGCTGCCTCGTAAATTTTTTTTACAGTACATTAAGTATATACACAAGTACAGCCATACATACATGAAATATGTATGCAGACATGCATATAATTTATGCATGTATATACATTTCTAGTGGACTCCGCTCAAGCAAAGCAAGATTTTAATTTGAAGTTGCTCACAATCTTCTGGTAAGTTATATGTCATTAGAGTATGTAACCTGTGTT